CACGGAAATTCTTCATCGTTGTCGAATCGCACCCTCTGGAACGAGCTCCAGTGTATTGGTTCCCTCACAATCCAGCTCAGTCAACAGCACATTGCCATTGGAAGGAACTACCGTGGTAGTCGGACGTACGTTTATTTTGAAAGCTTAATATTCCCTATTCTGTTCAGTTCATTTCATACAACCATGCCCCTTTGTGCTTCGCTTTTGGTTTCTGTCTTTTGGCAAACCGACAAGAGTGGCGATCATGCTGTCACTTATTATCAGATCAGAGTGCTTGAAAACGCGTGTATGCATAGTGGGACTGCGCTCTCTCTGTGTTGACCACAGAGATTTTTTTTCTTTTCCTGCCCCTATTAATAGATCCAATCCCTATCCTCCTTACATATTCTTACTTACCTAGTATGCAATATGAGCTTGAAAGCGATCAGTAAAGTTCGCTTCACTGTATTATGCTGTACAATGATGATGATGATGGGAGACACCTACTCTACCTAATCGCACATTTTACGATCATAGTAAGTGAGAACAAGGCATACAACAACGTGCGATTCAAACTCCGTGGGTGTCTGATGAACGTGATCCATAGAAGGGCAAATAAGATGTTCTTGACAATTCTGAAAACCCTTCCAGCAATCAAGTCTTTCGCATTGATTGGGACTAGACGCAAACCGCCCAAAGAGCATGAGAAGTTCTTGAGAAAATCCTAATGGTCAGAGTTTAATTTATGAAGCCCTAATGACATGACCGTGTCATGTAATCACTTGCTTCTGCGTAATCTATAATCAATGTAATGAAAACGACGGGAAAATGCAACTAGATTTGCCTCATTCTCAAGTAACTCGTTTGAAAGTGGGTGTATCAAGCCACTCAATCACTTCAGTGTAATCCGACGAAGCGAACTTGGTTGATCGGAGCGGAATGATTCTCTCAGGCATCATTGAAAACGTTTTGTGTCAGGCTATTTGAAAGTATCTCAAATGTGTGCATCTACAGCCAGCCTCTTCGTGGAATCAATGTCTTAATATCAGCGAGATCGTGTACATTGTGCCAGTCGGTATTTGTCAAGAAATACCCTCACTTTTCATGTCTGAATTCGTTTATTTTTCTTTGTCCTAATAAATGGGTTTTTAATGTGCTTTGTCTCATTTATCTCCTTTGCAGGCAATTCTGTACCGATTGCTTATAACCCCGCTGCAATGTATCATCCAATGGGCAACGGACCGGCGTCATCAACTTCCGTTTGTCCGACCATTCCATCGGGTATAAATCACGCCAAACTACTCAGTCTGGATCGGCCACCTTTAAAAGCACTGTTGGACGCGACCATCAATGCATTCGTCACGGCGACACACACGCGATTGGCCAACATAAGTCCGCGTCAGTACGCAGAATTTGTTGATTTTTTGGCTCGTGCTCGGGACACATTCCATCTGCTCCGACCAGACGGGCCGTCTCAATTCCGGAGTCTTGTGGAATGCCTGCGTCAAACGTATCGTGGCAAACGCAAATTAGTCTCCCTTCTATCCGAACGATTCGGCTAAGCTGTAAAGATCAGTCCTGTGGACAATATCACTTTTGTGAGTTCGTCGTGATTTTAGTCACTTTAAACGTTCTTTTAAAAAGTTCCTTTCCGGTAAACCCATTCGGCTCTGTGTGTTCCAAATATCTTGTGTTTGAGGGGTTCACTCCTTCACATGTGAATAAGTACAGACAAACGTCTATCTTAATTACTATGGCCATTATCTCAAATTGTTGGTCGTTGACCGCGTGGCTCAAGGGTATGAGTTTCGACTCTCAACCGCAAAAGGTCTGCGGTTCAGGTTCCTGTTGGTTCGCAAAAACTATATACTATGGCCGGATCCTAGCAAGGGCAAAACAGCTGTCTGATACTTTAGACGTTCCTGTGTACTGATTCATTTTAATGTACATGGAAAACTATCTCATCTACTTTCGGTGTCCGAATAGACAGCTTTACTTGCGTTCTGCCTCTGAGGTCCCGGGTTCGATCCTCAATTGGGTCGATGGATTTACATTACTGCTGAGTTCCAACCAGGTTTACGCTTAATTTATGTTCTATGAACGACGATTCCCTCTATAAACGAGTTCAATTTATCAGCCTTATATTGATGCACCATTTCCCCCAACTTTTAACGGTTAATCGCATTTCCAACACATACGTTCTATGAAGATAGCTTCTCTCTTCCACATCGTTCTAAACGGAGTGAGTTTTTCTTCACAGCCCGAAAGCTTTGTTGTCATGACGGTTGTGGAGGTCGAGTATGCATTTCAGTCTCGACCATCGGGATCGAAAAAGGGTTCTTTCCCATCGTCCATTCTCATCAACGCTATAGCCCCCTGTGGTGTCTCCAGGTTCACATGTATTGTGGAACAGTTCGTCATCCACCGTTTCTTTCAGTTAACAGACCATCAAATCGAACATCGAGTTACCAATCGATATCATCATGTGCATTCGGTGGTCTACCTGATGGTAATAGTGGTTAGCCGGTCTTCCAACTCTTCACGTGTGTGTGCGTGTGCGCGTGTACACACACGCACGCTCACCCACATAAGGCTTTGTTTCCACGGCCCGGGTTTAAAATTAGCCAACCAAGCACCATTCAATTACCCGCTTGCTCACCTCGTCTGTTCTTCCATTCCACGGTTTCTGTTCTCGCTCTAATTGCTCCGCATATGCAGTAAAACGGTTGCAGAGAGGAGTGGGAGCAGTGGGCGAATTCAAAAGCAAATGGTTGACTCACCTTACCAACGCCTCATTGCGTCCCGTACATCCAGCTGAGGTATAACTAGGACGACAGACGCCCTGGGCATCATCGCTCGTGCATACATGCTTGTGCGTGTGTACTTATGTGTGCATGCAAAGTAATGAGCAAATTAAAATCGGCTTCCATTGCTGATCACACAAACATTTAATTTGTAATTTCTCGTCGTACGGGGTATGCGCTAGAGCTCATGAGTAAGTGTGGACACATCACGTCGCACTCCAACAAAAACTAGTCGTTTGACACCTGGACTGCCCATAGGGAACACATTTTACATAAGTAAAAACAATTGGGCTTTTTGGAATGCGGAGCATATGATATGAACTCAGCTATCTTTTCATCGAGTTCTTTGCGTTCATGGCCAAAACTGTTGTTCTCACTTGTTTATCCATGCCTGTTGGAATCTTAGTCAGGGACTTCATTTACCTCCATTTAAGATCTAGTGTTTGTTTGTAAAACCTTTAACCATGCACTATCATGCGCCGGTTTTGGTTACTGTCTTTTGACTGCTCATTTAGTAGCAAGAGAAATACAGGAAATTTGAAAGTAGTTTCAAGGAGAAAATGGAGAATAGCTGCGTAATAAGGTTGCCAAAGAATGAAAAATATGCACAAACGCCACTGTTAACGACGCTCAACCATATCACTCAATGTCTCTAACCATCGGTTACGACCATGCCGAGGTCCCCATCCAGGGTGCCTAACAAGGACTATTTGACGCAGACTCCTGGTTAGTGTTTTCATACCCACATTTTACACTTTTAAGGTGCAAAACGCCTACTGAACATGGATGCGCTATCCAGAAAAGCTTGCAACTTGTCTGGATTTTTACTTAGTTCAGTTCAGTTCTTACAGCCATTAACCATGCGTTTTCATGCGCCGGTTTTGAATGCTATCTTCACTTAGCAGTACAATGTCGTCTGCATCCTCCAAATCAATCTACCATATCTGGGAACAAATCGATGAAACTATGTTTGCACGAGGATAGAGCTGTTTCCATAATTAAATCTATAGCAAAATAGCGAGAGGGCAATCCTGACGAAAACCACTTTCAGTGGTGAACTACATCGGAAACGTTGTGCTGTGCTTCCGCTTTTAGTATACTGGGATCGTATAATTGAAATAAACTTCTCAAGCACACTTTTCAGGGTAAGGCACCTCCAGCGTTTAGCGCCGGCTACTGAGTCGAAGGCCGCTTGCAGATCAAGAACAGAGGTTGGTTCTAGGAGAAGGTTGTCGGTTTTCCCGAATTTCCCGAAGGTTGAAAATATGATCTATACAAACTCGATCGGATCTAAAACCACCCTGCTTCTCACACGTGCACTCTTCTCGCGCGGCAGACGATCGGTGGATTATAATGCCAGAGAGAAGTTTAGGGGCACTGTTGATTAAGATAATTCTTCCTTGGTTTTTACAAGTGGATTTGTCCCATTCCTTGTAAATCGGTTAGATGACCTATTCGCATCATTCAGTTAAAACTTTTCTATCCACCACTTCCGGCAGTCATTCCCCAGACTCTTGATGAGCTGGTGTTCGAGGGATTGGTGCTCTGTGTCGAATTTGGCTTTCGGAGGAAGGGTTCTACGGGTGTCCAGCAGGTCAGCCGAGATCGATGATATCTATCGTTTGTGTTTTGAGCTTGCGGCAGGGTTTAACGTTGTTTTGATCAATACTTGCATAGCTTCCTTGATTTTCTGCTAGTGTTCGTTGAGTCCTTCGGTTGGTGGTTGAACTGATAGGCGATCGGAGAGCTCCGCTTCGAAGGATGATTTTCAACTATCGCCGACATTGTATCGTGGGTATCCGTTGTCGGTGGCTTTTTTGCGTTTGTTTGCCAAGCGTAAGGAGAATTCGACTCGTAACAAAGCGTGATCCGTATCCACAGGGGTTAATCAGTGGGAGCGGCAGTCTTGAATTGACCTTTTCCAACGATAACTGATGGTGATTTGATCGTTTTGAGTCCAACGCAGTGAAGACGTTGTCGTTTCTTGTGCGAGAAGTTGATGCCTGATAGGAACAGTTCGTGGTCCGCGCAAAGTTTAAGTAGACAGTCTCCGTTATCCGTCCGGTTGGCTAGGGTTGCGTTTGGTCCGCCAAGAAGCCTTTCTGATTCATCCAGGGATCCCACTTGAGCATTGACGTCTCTGGTGATTACTACGACGTCCGTTGATCGAACGCTTTGGGGTAGTTGAGAAAGATCTTTGTAGAATTCATCCTTGATTTCAAACGCACTGCAATCGGTTGGTGCATACGCCTATATGACGAGTAAGAATCGTCTTCTTGTAGATGTTGATTCGCACTGAATCTTTGTAGATTTCATCCTTGATTTCACTGTCACGTTAATTGTTGGTGTGCTGTTCGGGATGGGCCTTTGGTTTCATGCACCCAGTGTGACAAGCGAAAGGTGGACGGGGCAACGCTTTATTGGCTGGGTGCTGTTCCGCTCGGTCGGACGGTAGCTGTCTAATGAAGTGCGGGGATTTCTTCCATCGTCAGGAGGAAGCTGTATGTACCTCGCTTCTACATCTAGTGGGGCTTATTTCCCAGGAAAGGTTTCCTCCGTGTGTTTTTTCGCTTGAGCGTGGGCGAGAGTAGATAGTCAAACGATACCAGATGGTGCTCAAAAAGCTGCCTCTATCCGTTGACCTTTCAGATATGATTGGATTTTCCGCTGTGAGAAGCCATCCTGTATATCTCGCAAGGTTATGGAGGCACGCAAGCCATCATACCGCATCAAGACCCAGTGTCGTAATGATTGCCTTGCTTTCGTCCTTTCCATATCCCATAGTGATCTGTACTATTCTAGTTTTTACAGTTGTTAGGCCGATAGTGTAATAATACACGAACTGCAATCAAATAACTATCTGTTAGGTTTTATTACCAGGTGATTCATTAAAAGAAATACACGGTGCTCAGTAGAACTTTCGTTCGGTGTCCGTTGCACTTTTATCCGACGAAACTGTGTCAAAGGTGATCCCAACTCGGAAGCTCATCCACACACCACTCATGATTCGTCTGTGTGCGTTTGTGGTGGAAATAGTCGGTCAACTTGTGTTAGTGTCTTTCATTGGTCGTGAAAAACAGATCACAATTGTCAGCCATGGCAGGATGGTTTCAACGGACGGTGACAAAGCGTCAGGTCTGAGTTTTCGGGAAATACGCGAAGAATTCAAGCGTCTCAATCCGCTAAAGGGAAAACTAACCGCTTTAACTGTGAGAAAATGAATGATTCCTTTAGTTTTTTCTAATAATGTATGAAAGTAATATGATAGAAAAAGCACATTAAAAGCAACAGCTAGATTCTTCAAACTGAATACTTAAAACGATGGTTTGTGAAGTTCAGCCTAGACATCATTTATGTTTCAGTACCGTGAAACAAGGTGTGAAATAGTTGCGTAGAGTAGGATTTCTATCATAACGCGTATGATACCTTGTGCTCGACTAGTTTAATTGTTCAATGTGCATGCATCGTACAGACCGAAAGTGGCAACATTTTTTTCTCTGAACGGCGCTGAGCGTTCGCAGGCATAAGCAATTTCGCATTATTACTCAGCTACTCCATGGTCGCCGAATTGTTCTTTAAACCATTTATTCCACTCAGTCCATCCGGTTTGAAGAAAGCGCTCTTCGCATTTGTTTTGCACTGGTCTGCTTTTCGCTTTGTCTTGAGTAAGGCGGCTGAATTCTTCTCATGTTTCCCCGAAACTCAGACCCGGTAAGTCCATCTTGCAACGGCTGATAACGGTGTCTTGGTTTTCACGA